TCCATGCTTTAATGTTCAAAAAGGTGTTTATTTTTCTCAAACTGCCTGTGCTGCAGCACCTCTTTTCACCCTCTGTCTAAAACCAGAGCCCAGTCTGCTCTGATTGGTTAGCTGGCCAGCTCTGTTGTGATTGGTCAACCGCTTAGAGATGTCCCGCCCCTTCGTATATCACAATACAAATAGAGTGCCACAGTGACACGTCCTAAAACCCGGAAGTAAGTTAGCATTTTACCACTTCCGGTTCCTTCGACAAAAACCAATGCAATTTCTCCATAGGATTTTTGAAATAGCTCAAAATAAGGTCTGTGGTTGACACAAATTGAAGAGACGGATCACATTTTGTTCAGCCGGTTAATATCCACATGTCTACCCTACTTATATAATTTTCGAATCATAAATCTAATCGATAGATTTATGATCGATCAAATCAAAAAGACTTGGATTTTAGCTGTAATTTTCAATATCCATATGTCATGTATCAGTATTTATCCTTTATTGTTATACTATAAAGCTTAACATTGAGTTACAGACAACATCTGCATTATTAAGACCTATTTAACTTGGCATTAAGCTCAGGATCCTATAAAAACATCATTCACTTTCAATACCTGTTTATGACTAATGTCTAGATTCCTTATGCTCCTGATGAAATGAAGTGGTGCAGCAGGTGAGAAAAGGCATACATTGTGTAAACAGCAGTCAGAATTATATAAATTATTTTGGTCTCTTCAACCTTTTTACTCTGGCATGAAGCCAGTCTCAGACGGATCACACGTTTCAAAGCAAGATCAGATTATGGAGCGAACAAGCTGATAAGCACCCAGAACTAAAAATAATGTGAGCATGCAACACGTGAGATAACATCAGGAGGTTACAGATAAACATAGTAACAGACACCTGCATTTCCCAGAGAGTATCTGATCTCCTCCAGACAGTTTAAAGAACAACACAACCTCTCCAACCTCATTTGATCATTTTGTGTGTGAAAAAACAGCTCTTCTTTTGAAGTTGTACAGAGGACCCAGCTTGATTACCATTTGAGATTGAACACGATCTGGTGAAAGGTAGAAAAGATCGCTGCTGGCAGGTCTCTTCATTACATCTTGGAGTTGGACTAGATTAAGTATCCAGGGCATTTCTGACAGCGCCACTCTTCTCTGTCCCATTTAACCCCGTATGTTCCACTTTCACTGCATCTGGGAGCCAGCTGCAGCTCTCTGTATACAGTGCAGTGTGTCTGAGTCTGATTGGGGTCACTAGCAGGTCTGTCTCATCCAATATGCAGCTGATTGACCAACTAGGAGGTCACCAAAGTTCCAACAAGCAGAGTCCACAAAATCCTAGAAAATGAAGTTTTGAATCTCTGTTCTCGATTGGAAAAAAGCACTTTCTCTCACTCTCACATGCGGCTTAAAGTTGACGACATCTCATCAATGCTGTTGAGTTTTCGGAAAAACATGAAATGATTTGCTGCCATTTAAAATCAAGTGGAGTTGTTTGAGAATGTGTTACGCATTTAAAACTCTTTGGTGAAAATAAAAAACATTCCGCAAGCAACAAACTCAAAGATTACAAAAAGGAAAAGTAAACATCATTCTTTTGCTAAAAATGGTTTATTGGACAAGGAAGATTACAAATCTGATCCCTTGGTGGCAACCATCAACCATCTGATTATACAGTGAAACTCTTAAAAGAGAATCACCATATGGAAAATATTAGCAACCCATGAGTGAAAAAAACACAATCATGATCATGATGAAAATGTAAGAAAATAGCAGGACTGTTGAGAGATTTAAAAGCACCACAACTACATGCACAAGGGTTAAAAAGAAAAATGTACTGTTAGAACAGAATAAATAGACTAACTGACAAATATAAAGGTTAAAAAATGTGGGAAGGTTAGGGTTGCATATCCTTATAAAACATATTTAATACTGATCTGTTTTGCAGACCATTAATTTAACTAATGGACCATTTCAGTGTGGCATAAAGTCAAGTGTGACAAGAAGCAGGTGTGTGTGTGTGTGTGTGTGTGTCCTAATTCAAACAAGACATCATGTGAAGTCACTTTCAGAAGACCAAGGCACTCGACTTTTACATTAGATACACTGCCACATGCAAACATACAGTACAAAGCAACTTTTCTTTTTAATTTGGACATCATTAATACTCAACATTCATCCCCTTTCTATTCAAATACTGGTCAACAGTACTTCCCATACAGTTCTTGATCTTTGAATTTTTACAGAACACTTTTCTAACCAGTCATCAGAATATACAAAGTTAGTGAGAAACACAAACATCTATTGTAAAGAAATGTTTAGGTTTTTTTTTTTATTACTAATTCAGCTGAATACTGACCTCTCCTATTATATATTTCACCATCAGAGGGAGTTTAGTTGATTAAAAAAAGTACATACAGTTAAAACACTAATGTCGTAAGACTAAAAACAACTGAGCGAAGTAACATGATAGACAGTTGATGTGAAAGTGACAGAAGCCAGAGCGTGGTTTGTGACAGAAGATCAGTGGTCCCCACATTAAACATCACTGTGTGTTTATGTTTGTTTCACCTTTAATCCTTCTCCAGTGATTTATAGTAATCCTTCAGCACAGCCCAGGCCTTCGGGGCCATGAAGCCGTCGGGAGGATTCTCTCCCTCGCGGGCCATCTTACGCATTCGTGTGCCTGAGATGAAATCGTAATCTTGCTTGCTGCAATACGACAAAGAAGAAAAGAGTTTTGAGTAACAGACATATTTCAATCAATAAAAAGATGCTTATCAACAACAAAAAACGAGCCAACAATAACCTCCGGCTGCTTTTGAATCAAGTGCAACCAGGCGCAGCAGCCAGCTAGCTGCAAATGCAATCCTAAAATGTTTGGCGGGTTATAAGAAAAAAAATGTACTTGGGGGAATGTGACAGCTGAAATTGATGTGGAGCAGCTACTTATCCCACTATTGAATTTGTTGAACCTAGAAAGACCCAACAATATGCTTATAGAGGGGCACACACAAACCTGTCAACAGACCTAGTAACGTTACTACCAGGATCATTATTACATTATTTAGCTAAATCCTAGCTGCTGTAAAGTAGAGCAGGGCTACGTTACAAGCAGACCGAGGAAACCGTAAAATGGAGTTAAGATCGGCATGATTTAAGCTGATCCCTTCAAATTTGCCTAGTCACGCCCCAAATACCGATACTTAGGCTTTGGAGATCTCTACATCCAACCCAGTGAAAACAGACACGATGACTGTTTCCGTGTGAGAATATTTATATGACTTAACTTTTTTTTATATGCTAAACCATTTCTGGCAGCTGCTTTAATAGTCCTCACAAATCACTCTGTGGCTGGAGATATACTGTGAGAATACAGAGAATACAGCACACACACACACACACACACACACACACACACACACACACACACACACACACACAGTTGTAAAGTGAGCCCAGTGCAGCTGACCCACAACATTTATGAGTTCTTTAAGTTCAGAAGCAGTTGGAGTATGATTTTATAATATGCCTGTGTTTACGATAATGTTTGGGTCTTAACTACACATTGCTTTCTGCCAATGAATCCTTTTAGTTACTACAACTACGAGCTGACATATTGTAATCCCACATGCAGAGCCGTACAATAAAACTTATATGATTTATGTCTTAAAACCCGTCAAATTCCTGTGTTCATTCAAAATACCTTGTTTGTTTTTTAGATATTCATGCCAGCATATTTTCTAAATTGTTGGGAGTAGATAAAACCAATAACAAACATCTCAAACAACTTTAAATCAACCATGAAGAAACTAATGATAACATGAGAGCTTAAAGCGTCAGCTACTCTCACTGGTGCCCTTATTGACTGCAGGAATTAGAAATATCTATACCTCATCCTACTGATAGACATTTGTTTGTATTCCTTATTAAATCCATTTTGTGTCATTCTCTATAAAAGAAAACTTCCACAATTGCAATTCAGTGAATAAAGAAAAAACCCTGAACGCTAGTTAAAAATAACCTGTATCATCGTCACTTTTGCGTATCACACACTACTGTAAAACATTGCCACCCTCAAACTGTCTGTCTGAATGAAGGGACGAAGCTGTGATCGGTTATTAAAAAGTTACTGACGGGAAGAATTGTCCGAAAGCTTCTTTTCAAAATCAGATCACAGATTTTTTTTTTTTCGTCCAAACATTTCTCAAACCTTCTGATGGTTTCTTCACCCTCCCTCTGACAGACGGCTTTTCACTGCATGTTAAGATCAGAAACAATATGAACAACTTTGTTTGAAGCGAGCAGCCAAGGACAGACTTCATCCAAGAGCCGGGTGAAGAACTGGCACGACTTCATCACATCTTCACTAGCGTTGTTGATAAATGGCTGTCAGAGATAATCAGGACCGTTTTAGACATCTTGTTAGCAGATACGTACATTTATCTCCGTGGAGCTGACATTCAGAGCGGGTCCTGCCGTTTGTGAAGTCACATTTCTAATTGCTATCACATGACAGAGCACATTGTGTTGCTCGGAAACAATAAGAAGATCTAGCAGTTCACATTGCGTGAGGTAAAAGAGCTGCAGGCAAATTCTTTTGAGAACGTTTTTTTGTACAGTGTCTGTCAAATGAGAAACAGCTTGCAGCGATCCGAGCCATTACACTTTGGAGCAATATTGAGGGGTATTGCTGGTGATTAGCATTTATATTCCTCCTGATATTTGGCAAAGTGCTGTAAGCGTGCATGAGAGAAAGGAATGCCATCAATCTAACGGAGTGATGACTACAGAGCACAGACTGTGGGAATCCAGTAACCATCTTGCATTTCTTCCTCCAGCTCTAGCCCTAAGATGATATTAAGCCGTTGGATCAATGAGATTTGGGTATAAAATACAGAATCGTGTATTTTACCGGAGGGCGGGATTTCGTGATTTAACGTGACGTTCTGAAATGCTTTTAGTTTAGTTCATTGAAGGACAACGAGGCTTTTTTCCAAGTTTTTCCTTTCACACTTGATATACTGTATAAAATGAGTATAGTTTACATACATCTTGTGACATATACACATTCAAAAATATTGTTTCTTTATTATATTTGGGGATACTTTTTGACTAGTATTAAGCGTAGCTAAGGAGGTAGACCGGGTCGTCCGAAAATCGTTCCTCCAGTCTGCATGTATGCTACTGATTGGGAAAGCCAGCAAACCTGAAATTGCTCCAGTTTAAATGACCATTTAGATTAGATGAGGACATTGGCAGCCTCTTTGTGTAGTGAAGTAGTCAAAGTTGACATGTGTTGCAAAGCGCTTTGAGGGTTCCAAAGACTACAAAGGTTTTAAAGGGGTTATAACAAGGTGTATGCATTTCCCCATAACGATGTTGTTTAAAGGGGACCTATCATGCAAAATGCACTTTTGTACGTCTTTTATACATGAATATGTGTCCCCGGTGTTCCAGGGAACTCACCAAGTGTCAGAAAACACAACCCTCTCTATTTTCCTCCATACCCAAATTTCTTAAAAAGGGGCTGCAACGGATCTGATACAGACTGATCCAGATTTGAACACTTCTATGACGTCACAGAAGTGGCGCTACGGCTATTGGGCCAACTCCACCAATCAGGAGGAGACAGCCACGGACATTGACGTTGGAAAGCGCTGGAGACGCTGTAGTACATATGCCAGACCTGTAGATGGTGCTGTTCTCACTGAATCAGCCCATGCAAAGACAGTGTTAAATTGAGCGAAATGAGGAATGGCTAAAATGCATGATCTGTTTGGTATTTTGAAAAATAAAAAGTATAAATATGCCTTATATAGGTATGGTCCTACACTATATTATTCAAATATAGCATGATAGGTCCACTTTAACAACCGGCGTAAACGGAGCTTCGCGCGCTATCAAGCAGTGAGCGCGCAATGTCCTGTTCAGATGACGACAAATCCAACAGGATGCCATAAATAAACTACACAGAATCACACTACACACCTACGCAATGATTACATTCAGGCACATTGTAGAATACAACCTCTTTGGACAATTTATATACTTATTGAAAACAAGCTACAAAATGTAATACCTTGGAAAATGCCGTTTAATACTTTTTAATAGCCTTAATTTTCGCTAAATTGATTTATCAGCTTTTAATACTTTTTAAGACCCCGTGGACACCCTGATGTATGCTACTGTTTGGAGCAATTTCAGGTTCGCTGGCTTTCCCAGTTTTTAAGTATGTGTAAATGACCATTTAGATTAGATGAGCCTCTTTGTGTAGTGAAGGAGTAAAAGTTGACATGTGTTGCAAAGTGCTTTGAGGGTTCCAAAGACTACAAAGGTGTTATAAATACAAGTACATAAACCACTTGCTAGTATATGTTCCAAGGTTTTAGTTTTTTGAAGCGCTTCCTTGCTAATTAACTTAATAATAATTTAGACTGACGGTTACAGATGTGTAACAGAAGACAACCAAACGCTACATGATTGATTGATTTTTTGATCCTAGGAGGAAAAAAGTGCCAAAGCACGAAACAGTTTTTCTCCTTGCCTGGTCGTGTCAAAATGAAAAGTGAAGCGTAGCTAAACAAAGCCTTGGTGGTGCTTCTAACCAAACTATTCTTAGCACCACTAAGAGCACTAGATGTTTCCAATCAACTGTTAATTTGGACTAAACGTCATGGAAAACAAAGCAAATCTTTGATTAGTTTGGCAATATATAGTTTTCACATTCCTCACCAAACACTTCCTCCCTATAGTTGCATAACTTGCATCAAGGCAGTGAGATTGCATGATTGTAGTTAGTCGTCGTGGGCAGTGTCTGTACACAGACTTTAATTAATGTCAGGGCTCTGTCATTTCTGAGCAACATCAAAGATTGGGATAATCTAGAAAACCTTTAAACTGGAAAAGAAAGAAAAACCATCCCTGTTACTCTTGGCTTGATGTTTTACTGTTGAAAGAGACGAAGAGAAATGGATGAAAGGTTTTAAACAAGACAAGCCTAATTAGTTATTTATCTAGATCATTTAATGTAGGTTAAGGCTGCTTCTAATTGGCCTAAATGTATTACTCTGGAGTAAGTCTACTAATAGGCTATTTAATTTAACATGAGTGAGCACTTCCACTTTACACTCAAACGGTTCCTGGATTTCATCACCCTAATAAACGTACAGACTATGGGAAACAAGACGTCAGGCATTTTACAGATGACAGTTATAACAAAAACAAGTACTCACTTTTTGGGGTCGTAAAAGTCCATTGCTCTTTTGACCTTGTTGTAAGCGGCGACTTTAAAGGGAACGATCTCCAGGGTGATGAGGCCCGGAGCCATGGTGAGCACCTTGGCGCCATGAGTGGGCTCGTACAGATCCTTCCCCGTGTCGGGGTGCGGCATGCCGGCGGGGTCGCGGCCCACAATGTAGAAGTTGGCTCCGGCCACCATCCGAGATCTGCAATGCCACTGAACCTGTGGGAAAGAAGAAAAGATAGCAAACATCAAAATACCGCTGGGAAAAGTTTGGGAAAAGTTCGTTTTTCATGTGTTGTTTCAAAGGCTAGCAGAAAAAAAAAAATGTTTACAATGTATTTTTGAACAATCAATATGGTTTTTTTTTAATATGAGGGGTTTGTCCGATTGCGTCTTTCTTTAATAATGTTTGGATCCAGCTTTCTGTGGCTAACTTGCTGTGGCTGCTTTCATATCTAATGGTGCCATTTGTAATATTCAGTAAGCAGAGCTGGAAAAGTTGGGACAGACAAGTCGGGAATCTAAGTAGCTGTGTCAGTCATTGTTAGCGATAGTAGCTGATTAGCTGTTATTTTACACACAAACACTATAGGAACATGCCAAAAGATAGGGGTTGGAAAGCACTGTGAGTATGAGAGATGTGCAAGTAGCTCAAGTCTGTAGGGATTTGGCTTGGGAACCGGAGGATGGCCGGTTCAAATCCTGATCAGACAAAATGTGAGTGTGGACAGGTAGCTAGAGAGGGGCCAGTTCACCTCCTGCCATGGTGTCTTTGAGCAGGGCACTAAACCGGCACTCTGTATTTGTACTGTGTACATATGCTCACACAGTAAAACTGAATGTAATGTACCTACACTTAGCATTCTCACTTGTTAGTAGTACTCAGCCACCTCTAGCCAGCCAAACCCCCTCCGGAACTTTCCTTTAGTATAGGCACTGATGTTTTGTGTTTATCATTAATAACGGCGCTACATCTCTAAATTACTCTTAACCAGCTACTAATACTACTTCCATTACAGTCTTGCCCATGCAATCTGTTAAATCATGTCTTTCGATTCTGAGATTATGCTTTTAAAAAAAGACAAGTGGTTTTAGCTCATTGTGGATGTGGCAGGTTTCGGTGTGTCGGTAAAAAATAGGTAATTTTATTGATTCGTTTTTGACAGGTAGAACAGGTTCATAAGCATGATACCAACACTGAGTCAGGCTCTCTAAAGCTCCCATTCAGAGCAACAAATGGAATAAATTGAGTGCCTGACATCCACCAGCCTCAAAATCTGCTCCCAATAATTTGCGCTGTAACTTTCAAATTATCCTGAGTGAATGATTAAAAGATTCCCAGCTACACAGCTACGCTCAGTCACACGAAGAGGTTTTCGTACGGCAAGGGAACACTTAACAGAGCGCCTAGAGACAATTGCAAATCCCCTTTTCCTGTACACTCTCAGAAATGTGCAGACACCAAGTATATGACAGCCCTCCCCCTGTGTGTATCTGGCATCATTACTCAGAGCTGCAGCCAAATAGTGTTCCCTGTCAGTTTTGAGGAACATATTATTATTTTTAAAGAAATCTCAAGCATGTAACCACAAACACAACACTCCGTTAAACCGTTACCTCAGTTGGCCCGGCATACATCATGGGTGAAGGGAAGATGGCCACGATGGTAGAGTCTGGGTTCAGGACGCCCTCCTCCAGCACCGCGGCGTGCTGCTTCATCCTCCAGGGCAGCGGCACGTCGTCGTCCTTGGTCCAACCTCCCAGCGGGTGCAGAAGCAGAACGGGCCGGCGGTAGCCTCGCTCGAGCAGGCGCTTGTGGGTGTCCTGCATCAGAAGAGCATGACCGTTGTGGACTGGGTTGCGGAGCTGGAAGGCGAATACAGCATCTAGAAGAGGCAAAAAGGAATGTGAGTTTGTTCAACTCTGACCGTCTTTGAAAAAACAAACAAAAGGCCACAGTGTACTCGGAGATAATCAAGCAGCCTAACTACTGTAACCACATGAAGTGAAGAACTGAATCACACCAGAGACTTTCCTACTCTGTGTCCCTTCATTTCCCCCAAGAATTAAACAAAGAAGTGTGTCTTCATCTTATAAGAACAATAAAAGGTAGCAGCTTAAAAATGCTGTTACTATGTAGCAGACTCAAGGGACATAATTCACCATTGTCAAGGGTTAAATACCTTCTGTAGTGGCCAATGGTGGTACTACAACTTTGGTATCAGTCCGTGACATCGTCGGGCCAAAAAATACTTAGCCATTCACTAACATTGGAAAAGAGATGTCTGTAAATCAGTGGATATTTATTTTAACTGAATCAACCACCCAGGACAGACACTTTGATATCCCTTTTGGAATCATTAGGGTCTAAAAGTTCATTTCAAAGTCCATTCATTTGACTGAGCCGAGAAAGGGGATCGGAAAACGCTTCATGCGCCAATGAGCAACTTTCCTAGGAATCAACAGGGTCCCGTCCATCCATACCTCCAGGGTTTGACCGTCACACTAACACAGTAACAGTTGGACAGTGTCAGTTTGTCGCGATGGAAACATACTGAACTTGCTTTCCAACGGTTTTCTTTAATAAACAACACACACATAGTTTCGTTAAAAAGTCATTCGTCTGTATTTTCTCACAACTTCTACACCACTACTGTCTCTCTAAAAGTCCTTGGTTCAAGATGAGTTTGCTGTTTTATAAACAACCGAACTTGGCCCATACCTGCGTTCATTTCTTTAAACTTCTGTTTCAGCTCAGTGGGCGTCAGCCGGTACTGATCGAGGTCGTCGTGCCAGTAGATCTTATCCAGAACCTGCAGGTCTCCCCCGACCAGCCAGTCCCCACTTTCCATCACCATCTGAAATAGGAATCACAGCGATCGTGACAGGGAACACAACTCAAACATAATCCAGACTTAAGACACTGCGGTCCATAAAAGCTTCACCGTGCTGGAACCAGGCCAGCGTGAGCTCTAATAAAAAAAGAAACCCGGAGTTATGACCCAGTTTCAGCTAGGGCACACTGGCATAACTCAGAGTCACCTTGTGTCGTTAAACAGTCAACAAGACTCCTGCATGCCCACTTCCCTTCATTTGGCCACGTCTACTAACTTTGTTTCAATACCAGAACAGAGACAAAATGAGGTTGTATTTCACAATAAAACCCGCTGATGAGCTTCATGGAGAAGTGTTCCCTTCCAAGAGATTCATCCCACATATCACAGAAGTGCTCAGGAAGGCTGCTATTGATTCGGGCAATATCTTCCGCCCTGTGGCATTTATGAGACCGTAGCTAGAGTTACAGAAAAAACCGGTCTGTGGGATGTTAATTTGATACAAAGTGACAATTCTTTACAGGCTCTGTAATAAAACAAGCACGGCTCCAGCTCAGGGAAGAGAACTCAAAACAAATGCTACAAATGAAACATGAAGTGTGCACGCATTGGGAAGAAAACTTATTGTAAGTAAATAACAAAAAGATGTCACTTACTTCATTTATCATGTGGAAATATGCAACAACAAAACTATTCCCTTTGATCCAGAGACCCACACAGGCTGGTTTCAGTTTAAGCTGGCAAAGTATACATAGAAATCAGAAAGTGGTCAGCAGTAGAGGTGTCTACGTGATTTGATCAATAACAATTTGGCGCTGTCATAGGAAGCTTTTAGAAACATGTCGTGATTAGTTTTCCAAACTCCAATTTATCCAATACGTCCACTGCTGGCCCGAGAAGAGTCATGAAATAAGCGTATCACTCTTATTCTTTGGAGAGATCAACAGAGCCATTTTTTTACCTCAACATAAGTCAATCGAAAATATACGTCAGCGTGGATAGATCAAAAGAGAAGGTCTACACGTACACATGTGCTCTGTTTAAGCGCTATAAGTGCCCCCAGGACTTCACATGTGAAAAGGGCTGAAGGGGGCTCCTGTCTGACTGACAGACAGGTAAACAGGAAAAAGCGGATTAACGACATATAATATGGAGCAGGTCGTTTCTGAGCGGAAAGAGACGAGGTGAAAAAAAAAAAGCTTAACTTCCAGGGCAGAGGTGTGCTGACAGACTGGCTCCGGCGCGGGGAGTTAAACATGCACTTATGTATACATACACACACTCTTTAATGAGTGACACCTTAATCATGGCAAGCTGAACACACATGTTCAGCTGTGACGGGTCAGAGTGGATACAGAATGAAAGTTGAGGAAATACGGGGGTTGAAGCCTCAGGTGTTGAAAATGGAGACTTATGGTTACTAATGTATGAAACTGACATCCTGTAACGTATTACCAAGCCAGATTTAATCAAGACCAAAGTGAGACAAAAACGATATCGGCTGAGGTGGAAAATGACTTCGAAGCGCGTTGAAATATTGAGACAGCTGCCGTCTGGATTTTTAGAGGCATAGGGCTTTAAAAATGAGCCAATGAGGTTTACACATAATCTGACCCCAGAGGGCGAAATCACTAAATACCTCAGAGGTTAGTATCAGCTTTGTTTTTCACCTTTGCCGTGATACACGCGGCCAAACAACTGTATTAATCCTGAAAACAAAGTGATTTAAAATGAGCCAGACAGAGGAGCAGCTTTTGAAAGTAACCTTCACTTCCAGTCAACAGAGATGGATTTATAAAAGTCAACGTGATGACTATATCTGTCTGTAACACCAGACTGTTCCGTTCGTCTCCAGCTACAACCCAAGCCAGTGACACTTTTCCGCAGGGTGAGCAGGATCATTTCAGGACGTAATCTCACCACCGAGTCTACCTGAGCCCCAGCGCAGTCGATAGGAGACAGATGGAAACAATTCCGGGGTATATTTGGAGAACGGTTGGGTGAGCGGAAAGGTGGAAGCTGGCAGCGGTACAATCTCAAACGCAGAGACTCCAAATATAACACCTGCAAAATGAGGGTGGACCAGAAAGATCAAGTGATTATACTGGGCGTCCTGACAGAGTGTGAGAAAAGATCTTCCACCTATTCAGTCTTTCCATAAGTGTGGAAGAGGCCAGCTCGGATCTGTGTTCGATCAGCGCCGGAGCCAGGGAGGCAGTTTGCTTTCACATGCTGAGTGTTTATCAAACAGCACACTGAGACACACTGTCTGCAGCTCTGCGATGCTGCTCTGTACTCTAAACACTCGGGGATTCCAACATATTAGCCTCAAACAGTTTGAAGAATTCGAATAATGATTTGTACCTTGATGTAGGGGTGGTCCTTGCACGTGGTGCCCCACTGGCGAGCGCACCGTTCTTCTTTGCGGTGTTCATAAAACTCGGGGTTGCGGAGGATGGCCACTCGCTTGCCCTGGTAGACCAACGCCATGGCAGTCACTCCGTCTAAACGCTCTTTATCTGCAGTGGACAACGGCAGCACCACGGGCACCGACAAGTTGATGACACCACCTAGGGAAATTCAAAAACATGAATATTTTTAGTATGGGACAAAGCTTATTATGAAAAGATTAAATACACAAAGTCTGCAACAAACTGTTATTTTTACTATCAAATAATCTGCCAGTCTCAAAGAAAAGGTCATTAGTACTTCCAAAATTCAAAGGTTACATATTTGAATTGCTTATTTTACTTGATTAATTTACTACCAAGTATAGTTTAGGGATATAAGGCTAAATATATAAAATCCATTTATCATGACTGGGAAGCATGTCAACTCCAAATTGGTGGAAAAATACATGGAAGTTGCAGATTTTATTATCTTGGGATTTAAGATCTTAATGGGTCTTGGTGAAGTTCATGACCACTACTTAAGCGTCTTTGAGTTGTGAAAAGCGCTATATAAATAAAATGTATTATTATTAGGAGGCGTCTGGCGCAGTGGATAGAGCCTTGGTGGTGGGATCAGGGGGACACAGGTTCAAACCCCACTGCAGTCAGCATGTCGTTGTGAGACACTTCACCCCAAATTGCTCCTGTGGGGATTGTCCACAGTATTGAGTATGCAAGTCGCTTTGGATAAAAGCGTCTAACAAGAAACATGTAATGTATTATTATTATTACTACTGGCATATTGGAGCAACGTTTTTGTGAGTGTACCCCCGTCATATCATGCATGCTCAGAGTGGGCAACACAATACAAAGTCCGGCTTCAATTCTGAAGCTTTTCCAATGATTGGCATTTGGTGGGAATAACACAACAAGAAGTGAAGCAGGCAACTGGAATCAAACATTGATATAAACATTGCACCATTTCAAATATGTTCAAAAGATTGTCTCTACAACTGTTACTTGGGGAGCACATATATTCAAAGTAATGCTGTCAAAATTATCGCGTTAACGGCGGTAATTCATTTTTTGAATTAATTGCGTTAAAATATTTAACGCATGAACAGAATGGCCCGCCCCATACATCCCACCAGTGACAGCGCTCGGGTAGGCTACATCCATACCAAAGAAATGGCTTAGCCCCACCTTACCCCACCATAACAATTGACGTTAAAGTAATGCAAAATAAAGTCTGCCAACTCGCGGAGTAAATTGCACGACAGCAGTTAGTAAGATTGATTTCAAGCAGCCACTTGTCTGGAATACCGAAGACTAGAACCGTTTTTGAAAACTTTTGAGAAAACTAGTGATGTCTTCTCAATAGAACATCTTTGATATGTCTTCTGGACAAATCAGAATCAAGATAACGGTGTGGTGTTGTTGCAGGAAGTCCGACGGAGAATACTTTTGCCTGTAGAGTAGCCTACATTCTCTATACACATCGATACAACATTACGTGTTGATAGAAATCAACACGTATGAAGTAAGGACCCCCACGGTTTGATGGATTGCATAGGTGTGTGGGCTGTCTTCTCTTTGAAACACAGAACAAGTGTTATATATAAACATACATACTGTATGTTAAATGATATATCCGAGTTCCTTTCCCATTTTCTTTTCATTCCCACAACATATACATAAAGAAATGGCCTATTTTGACATAGTTCGAATGGGTGATTAATCATGATTAATTAATTGTTTAAGGTATGATTAATCTGATTACATTTTTTAATCGTTGACAGCCCTAATTCAAGTGACTTGTTAAACCTTAAGGACGGAAGCAATGTTTATTGGGATTGTAAAAATGAACTATGTTTGTAGAACTGCTCACAGGGCCTCTTTTAATAGTGGATAAGGATCCTAGAAAAACAAGTAAAGAATCCCAATGCAAGCACTGTGACACTCAGAACAGATATCCTACATAAAAGGAGTAAAAC